GGTGCAGTGGTTGAGAGTCCACCTGCCGATGCAGGGGACATGGCTTCATGCCCCGGTCTGGGAAGATCCCACATGCTGCGGAGCCGCTGGGCCTGTGAGCCATGGCCGCTGAGCCTGCGCGTACGGAGCCTACGCTCTGCAACGGGAGAGGCCACAACAGTGAGAGGCCCGCGTATCACACACACACACACACACACAAATTAGTAATAAAGAATGCAAATGAGTAAGTAACCCCCATGTGGGTCACTCTTTTAGAGGTGAAAATCTTTACTGAAAAGCAGAGCAGGTCTGATATCACAGATATAGCAGCTCGAAACTTGCTTTCTTGTAGTTGGTCTACATTCCTGCCATTAAAACTAAGCTTTAAATGAACATTTGGGGGCTTCCCTGGTGGCGCAGTGGTTGAGAGCCCGCCTGCCGATGCAGGGGACACGGGTTCGTGCCCCAGTCCAGGAAGATCCCACATGCTGTGGAGCGGCTGGGCCCGTGAGCCATGGCCGCTGAGCCTGTGCGTCCGGAGCCTGTGCTCTGCAACAGGAGAGGCCACAACAGTGAGAGGCCCGCGTACTGCAAAAAATAAATAAATAAATGAACATTTGGCCACTCAAATGAAGCCTGTTTCTTGCTGGTTGAGTGGTGAAGAGAAATAAAAAAGCATCAGACTTGGAGCACAAATGAATATCCTAGATCTGTAACGGCAAAGTTGCCTGGCCTGCCAGGATCACCAAACTATCCCTTGACTTATTTGTGAGAGACAGAGAGAATAATATAGTTTTCTCCCAAGCTTCAGAAATCACACAATAGCTTTGAATAGTCTCTGCAATTCATTCAATTATAGATATGCCCTATGTTTTAGCTGTCTTGGCTAACACTGGTGATCAGAAGATTGACCTGGAGTACTTGTTAGAATTCAAGTTCCCAGATTCCTCTTCTAGAGTTTTGGATTCTTTAGGATAAAGAGAAGCCCAACTCCCTGCACTTTTAATAAACACCCAAGTAATGGATTATTTGTTCACCTTTGAAACTATTTCTTTAATTACAGTTACCAGAAGTATTCATGTCTTTTAATCCACTAACCAACCAACCAAAGAAAGAGTATTTTAATAAAGATAATACTATTTAACATTTTGTTGATTGAAATATTCATGATTACAAATTACGTTAGGTTTTGTATTATTGAACACACAATTAAGATGGGTTTTCAACTGTCACTGAATAACTGAAGACAAAATAGAAATCTTTCATTGGTAGGTTCTTAGAGTTGGAAAAATTCTTCAACAATCTATATTCCGTCTTCTGTAGTATTGAAGGCTTTGTCTGATCATCTAGGAATTTAAAGCCCTGATGGAGAAGACTAATTGTAGAATCCATTTCACAATAGAATTGCTATAAAAACCATAGGAATGTGTGGCTGAGGCAGAGTCAGCAACAACCCCAATGACTAAAATCAAATTTTCCACTATCTTCTCTGCAAAGAAAGAAAAAGCAAAAAAGAAAAATTATGCTTAAAAAAGTATATAAAATTGCCTGAGCACTGCACTAAATGCTTCTCCATGAGGAGAATCTGAATATAAGAGTGATAGGAGGGCTGTGCTCCCCTTCCTCAAACAGCTAGCTGGGCCCCTCCTTACCTCCCTACCCTACACAGGTCCTCCCAACCACCTGGGGCTACTTGACTCTTCCTACATGCTCAGTCCTGACTCAGCCTTGGAACCCACTAAGGAGAGACCTCAGAGAGGAGGATTAGAGATTGTTTTCATGGTTCTCTAGAAGTAGAAGCCCATTTGGGGATTAAATGAGAGGAAATACCAGTGAGAGGAAATGAGGTGGGAAGTAGGAAGGCTGGCTGAACATTTAGACTGGGAACTCCCTCGGGGGAATGAGGCAGCAAGGGAGGTTAGGTGGAAGTGTCCTAGCATGCCCTGCTCTCTAAGGAAAGTTTGGAGTCTTGTCAAGGATATCAGGGGACAAGATGAACCACTGGAGGAGTTCCTTTCTAGCATAAATTACCCATTGTGATGGATTTAAATTTCTGAAGTCAGTAGTTTTTCTTGCTCAGTTATGTTCCCTGTAGCTTGGAGCTACATCATAGAGGGCCTCATTCAGCCTCTGGAGTTAAGAATTACATTATATCGGTCACCAGACTTCCATTAGTAAGTCACAGCAATTGAATCAAGTTAAAGTAATTGATTTATACAGTTGGGTAACATCCAACAGGGACGGATATACTTTGAGGTCAAATGGAAACTACTTTTAGGAATGAGACTTAAGGGAAAGGTACCAGTGTGTTTCTTTGGCTTTAACAGAGAAAGTACAGTTATTTTCCATCTATACTGTGACCTGGCTATCAGAAAAATGGAGGTTCCTATAATTTTGTGATTGTTTCTTCATTATTTTGGATGAGCCAATATTTAGTCTTGTGTTCTTACAGCTTTTCACTGCAGAAAACACATTTTTTGGAGTATGTTCGGCCATTGGTTGCACAGATTGGGTCCATTTCTCTGGTGCAAAAACGTAACTGATCCACATACACGCTACATTCTGGCTGTTAAACAGACAACATAAAATTTTTCAGATAATAAACTTTTTGAATAAAATATTTTTATTCCTAATACAAAATGGTATGTATCAAAATGGAATATATTCTATAGTCTATAGACTATATTCTATAGTCTATATTCTATAGTCTATATTGTATCAAAATGGAATATATTCTATAGTCTATATTGAGGTTTAAAATAGACATAAGTCATGCACAGAGACATACAAATATATTGATATATTTTTGCAACCCCAATATTTTTTGTATTTTTTAAAAACATACAAATGGCTAAATGCATTTTAATAATTTAGCTCCTCTGCCCCTACTTCTCCTCATACAACAGATTTTCACCATCATCTCATACCACAAAAAATTATAAAAGTGAATTTGTTATAATTCTTCTGTTTTCCTCAATAGTTTCACTAATAGATAATCTGATAGTTTCAAATTATCACCGTATATGTATGTGTTCATATATATGTTTGTATATGTGTAGTTAACCATATACATATAATTTGTGTAGTGATGGCAGTGTTGGCAATTTACATAAATAAACAATAGTGTGTGTATCCTTACATGATCTGCTTTTTAGGCATCTTTAAAAATGTTTGTTTAGATGTTTAGAAGTACAGTTGATTTTCTTCACCTCTATGTAATATTCCAATCTGTGATTTTATGAAAATTATTATTTTATATTCCTGTAAGTGGAAAATTAGGTTTTTTTAAATAAATATCTGTTTAAGTCCCTGCTTTCAATTTTATTTTATTTATTTTTTAAAATTTTATTTATTTTTGGCTGCATTGGGTCTTCGTTGCTGTGTGCAGGCTTTCTCTAGCTGCGGCAAGCAGGGGCTACTCATTGCATTGGCTTCTCTTGTTGCGGTGCACGAGCTCTAGGTGCACAGGCTTCAGTAGTTGTGGCTCGTGGGCTCTAGAGCACAGGCTCAGTAGTTGTGGCACACCGGCTTAGCTGCTCCGCGGCATGTGGGATCTTCCAGGACCAGGGCTTGAACCCGTGTTCCCTGCATTGACAGGTGGATTCTTAACCACTGCACCACCAGGGAAGCCCAAAATTAGTTGTTGTTGTTGTTGTTGTTGTTGTTTGCGGTATGCGGGCCTCTCGCTGTTGTGGCCTCTCCCATTGCGGAGCACAGGCTCCGGACGCGCAGGCTCAGGGGCCATGGCTCACGGGCCCAGCCGCTCCGCGGCATGTGGGATCTTCCCGGACCAGGGCACGAACCCATGTCCCCTGCATCGGCAGGCGGACTCTCAACCACTGTGCCACCAGGGAAGCCCCCCAAATTAGTTTTCTTAAATCCTCTTCTTTTTCTAGGGTGAACAATTCCACTTTAAACACTTTTTGATGCCTGTATACAACAAGGTTTATGCTCAATAATAAATATGTGAATAATGGAATATTTTTACCTTGTCTGAAATGACGGATGGTTTTATATGGCTGGCAAGATTCTATTTCTTGAACTTAGTGTAATAATGACACTTTATCTTACTTTTTGAAGGACTATTCTGTTATAGATATTTTTGATAAAATTTGCTGTTAAAACTTAAAATATAAAAAAAAATTAAGTTTACCTTTTTCAATTCCCACATTAACCAGTATGAACATATAGTTTCACGTGTCTCTGTTAAAGGTACAAAAGCAGTTTCTGCAACCATCACACAAAAGGTAAATTGAAAAGAAGAAGATGAACAGGGGAACACAATGTCTCTGGTGGGAAGTACCCACATCTATGCAAATCACCTACTCAAACACAGCAAGTAATGAGGTGAGGCTTTTGTGGTAGTATCAAAATAATAGTCTAACAAAATAATTTCAAATCTGGAAATAGAATTCTAAATTCACCTTACTCTGAAAAATAACTTTAAGTATGGCTTAATAATCACCAAACCCTGCTGTGGAGATACCACTTTTTTTCATTTTTATAAATAGAGACATCCTACTCAGAGAAGACAATGTCTTGCTTAAGGCCACTTAATATGAAGAAGTTAATTACTACTTAGTATTCAACTCGAGTATCATGGATCTCTTTAATAACTCACAGCTACTTTACTCTGGAATTCATGGGCCATCTTGTGCTTTAAGAAAGATAAGTTTTCAGCAGAGGGATCAATTACTTCTCTCCTTACACAAAGCCTTGACTTTAGTGGACTCAGAGCTGGCAAACAACAAATAGAATTGTCAAGGATACCAGATCTAGAGGACTTTTTTACTGCCCACACTCTGCATTTAGCAACGATGAAATCTGACCTCCAAAAAGGGGGAAAAATCAGGTAAATATCTTTAATCATAAATAAACAAACAATTAAATTTTACTGATCATTCTAACCCCCCCGTCTCTACCTTTCTAAGGTGGGAAATGAGAAAAAGCAATCTACTGATGTAATTTTTAAATAGGTATTTGTAACATGTCCCATTTCATTTTGCCCGTTTAAGTATTACATACCCAACAGCAATCTCCTTCATTCCTAGATAATAGCAGTTGTTTCCTACATTTCCTAAAATATGTTAGTTGCTTCACCCAGGTCTGAAAATTTTACTCACCAAAATAAAGAGGAAATGCCAAGCCAATAATGAAAATAACTGATCCATGATGAGAAGAGAGACATCTTTTCAAGTCTGTAGAACAAATGCATAGGGATGCTTATAACACATGGCACAGGGAAAATTGCCCATTTCCAAATGAAAGTTTCTTACAGCTAAAGGAACTGCCCCCCTCTCCTAGGTTTGTAATTATGGTGGGAATCTTCCCCCCAACCCACAGGACATACATGTGAACAGGAGGCCTTGTAGAAGACTTGAGAGAAACACTAGGACAAGTTCTCTTTGCCCATTTAAGGAGGAGCGGTTTACTCTCCCAACCCTTGGCTCAGCCAAGGAGCCTGGCTGCATTTAAAGAAATATGCACTTTGGAATTTCAGTTTTTCCTCAGAAAACAGAAATAGTTGTTTCAGGAAGGACTGACCTGGAGCAGTCCTCACAGCAATGTGACACACCAGGGCTACCTCCACAGCATCCCCACCTGACCTACCTGAAACAGAGAAGGCAGTGGAGAGTGAGGTCTGCAGCTCCAGGGACTGTGCCTATTTTGATTCCCTTTCCTTCTCAACCACTTCCCCCAGCTGAAGAGTCTCCTTTATTGGACTGTTGGTGACCAGCCTGGTGGGGTAAAACAGATGGCCCCCAGCAGATAAGACCCTGAGGTTTTCTGTGTTCTTCCTCATGAAGATCTCACACAGATCATCTCTCAGCAGGGGTTTGGGACAATTTTATCTGATGAACGCATGTATGAGGGAGAAGGTGACAACAATTCTTTGAAACTCTAAGGTACAGAAGAGATGGGGAAGCTTTCCGAGTTCCTGAGTTGAAAAGAAAGGATAATCAAAACAAGAAAGAAAAGAATGAGTTTGGGGAACTATAATTAGATACATACCTACACCCTTAGTATTTTGAAGGACAGTAGAAGCCTATTAGACTCAATGGGAGACTTGATTTTTATTAAACTTTTTATCTTGAGTTGAATGGAGATTCTCATCAAGCCGTAAGCACTAATGCGGAGAGTTCTTGTGTTCCTTTTAATCAATTTCCCCCACTGAGAACATCTTGTAAAATTATGGTACAAATTCACAACCAAGAATGTTCAAAAAGCTCCCAGATGACTGTCAGGGCAACCAGCTATGGAAACCTGAGGTAGAGGACAGAATGTGAATATTAAGAAGAGAAAGAAGGCTTGGGAATGAAATTGAGACCACAGGGGACAATGCCCTCCCTCAACTATATGATGAATAATTTGATCTTTACCTCAAAGTAAAGTGGGAAACTGTGCAGGGTTGGAAGTAGTAGGAAGAGGTATATAATATGAGCTATTTAATTAATCTGCTTCACAGTCTGACTCTGTGGGAAGAACTTCGGCAAATGAAAGTCCTGAGTTCAAATGCCATCTACCACTGAGTAACCTTGAGACAATATTCAGACTTTCTAATCCACTATTTCCTAATTTTAAATGTGGGAAAATAATTTCTGTCTCAACGATTTGCCATAAATATTAGGGATAAAATATTAAAACAGGATGCACTTAAAGTTGTACTAGATTACATGTGTCACCCTAACCGAACCTTTTTTATTTTCAGTGAAGAAAGCCAAGATTGAGAAAAGAACCTTTGAGTCTAGCACTGTTCCATGCCAATTTAATGGGAGGATATAAAATCTGGTAAGTGCTAAAATTTTTCCTTTATTATAGGAAGTTATTATCATGCTTTTGCTAGATTTTGAATTATTTACATAGATACCATCAGAGACATCTGTGCAGATAATCCTTCTGGCACATGACCTTGGAGGGTAAAATTAAACTGAAGTTTAGAGTTGAAGTGATTGTACAGTCCTTGAATCCCACAACACTGGATTTTTTCTCTTATGTGCATTCATTAGCAGAGATTAAGAGCAGGAGACACTGCCTATGAGATACAACAGGCCATGAGGTTTCTAAATTAACCATGAAAGGGAATGTTAGATGTGTGGGTTATTTAATGCATATTTTTTCTGAAAATGTTTAATGTATATAAATACATTTATACTGTAAAGTTACAGATATTTAATATACAACTATACTAAAATCACATATAAATATATGCATATGTGTATATATGCAGATATATGCATGTGTATATGTCTATATATGTATGTATATAATTCTATATATTCACAAATATACTAACATTTACATGTAATAACACATATAAATGTAATAACATTAACAATATAGATACATATATATATACACACACAGAGCATATAGATAGATATACACAGATATCTATATATGTAAGTTATCTAACTGAGCCCTAAATGTCATCACAAGTATCCTCATAAAAGGGAGACTGAAGAAGATTTGATGCAAACACACAAAGAAGGCCAAATGAAGATGGAGTTAAGAGAGATTTGAAGATGCTGGCCCTAAAGATGACTGATGATAAATAGATAGATAAAAATAGAGACAGAAGAATAAAATCAAGACATTTCTCTGTAACTCAGTTTTTCATTTAACAATCAATGGTATATCTTCATATAAGCATATACAAATACACAATTCCTTTTAAGTTATTCTTGCTACCAGTGTTGTAATGAACATGGTTGTGCAGGTCACTACATGCTCATTCGATTAGTTCTATATTTTTAGCAGTTGCATTTTTGAGTCACATAATATGTGCAGTTTAAATTTTAAAGATAAGACCAGTTTACTTCCTGAAAGCCTTATATCATCTTACTATGAAAAAGACAGATTACAAGTATGGTTGGTTCTCTGTATCTCACCAAATGAGTGTCATCTGAAATATTCATGTTTTCACACTCACAGTTAAATATATACAAAAATATAAAATGTATATATTTGGATGATTTTGTTCAGTGACAAAATTTCTCCATCTGGGAATAAGCTGAAATTGTTTATTAAATAAGTTAATGAAGTCATAATTTCTATTTTTTTACTTTTAAGAATTTTCATCTACAAACATGGTTTAACTTCCAAATTATTTAAGTCCTGAATATGTGAAGAAATTATTCCTCTCTAATTAACACAATTCATAGTTATGTTCTGTAAATGAGAAATTTGGAAATCTTTGGAGAAACTTCCTGTTATATATACATATACAAATGGAACAGCTTATTTGAAGTGGTGATGGGTGAACTTTGGCTACCCAGCCTCTTTTGTCTATTTAGAGTTAACTCTAGCTGGAGAACGCTGAACTACATGTTTATGTTTCCTCTCTAATATTCCAAAGTTTATGGTGCTTAAGAGATCCTGCTAGATGATCCCTGAGCACAAGATAATGCAGTCTGTTTTACACTGTCACAAGGTTCCCCCGCCCCAAATATATATTCCAGCTTTACTGAGTATGACATAACAGGCATATCTTGGAGATATGGAAGGGTTTGGTTCCAGACTGCTGAAACAAAGTGAATACTGCAATGAAATAAGTAACACAAATTTTTTGGTTTCCCAATGCAAATAAAAATTATGTTTACACTATACATATGTAGCCTATTAAGTGTGCCATAGCACTGTGTCTTAGAAACAATGTACATGCCTTAATTTAAAAATACTTTATTGTTAAAATATGCTAACCATTATCTGACAACACAGGGTTGCCACAAACCTTCAATTTTCAAAAAACACAATATCTGAAAAGTACAATAAAGGAAAGCAGGCCAAAAGACTAATGAACATAGATGAAACAGTCCCCAATAAAATATTAGCAAACCTAATTCAACAGTATGTTAAAAGGATCATACAACATGATCCAGTGGGATTCATCCCAGGGATACAAGGATAGTTCAATTTCCAGAAATCAAACAATATGATACACCACACTAACAAACTGAAGAATAAACGTCATAATGATATCTCAATAGATGCAGAAAAAGCTTTTGACAAAATTCAACATCCATTTGTGATAAAAAAAAGTGAGTATAGACAGAACACACCTCAACATAGTAAATGCTATCTATGACAAGCCCACAGCTAACATTATACTCAATGGTGAAAAGTAGAAAGTATTTCCTACAAGATCAGGAAAAAGACAAAGATGCCCACTCTTGCCACTTTTATTCAACATAGTATTGGAAGTCTAGCTGCAGCCATCAGAAAAGAAAAAGAAATAAAAGGAATCAAAATTGGAAAGGAAGAAGTAAAACTGTCACTGACTGTAATGACATGATACTATACACAGAAAATCTTAAAGATGCCACCAAAAAAACTACTAAAGCTCAGCAATGAATTCAGCAAAGTTGGAAGATACCAAATTAATATACAGAAATCTACTGCATTTCTATATACTAACAATGAACTATTAGAAAAGAAAATTAAGAAATGAACACCATTAAGAAACTAAGAAAACAATTGCATCAAAAAAATAAAATACCTAGGAATAAAAAGACCTGCACCCAGAAAATATAAGACACTGGATGAAAGAAGTTGACAATGACACAAACAGATGGAAAGATTTGCCGTGATGGGAAGATTTACCATGCTCATGGATTTGAATGTTATTAAAATGATCATAGTACCCAAGACAATCTACAGATTCAGTGCCAAAACACCAATGGCATTTTTCACAGAACTAGAACAAATAGTCCTAGAATTTGTATGGAAACACAAAAGATCCCGAATAGAAAAACATATCTTGAGAAAGAAGAACAAAGCTAGAGGTATCACAGTCCCTGATTTCAAACTACACTACAAAGCACCATGATCAAAACAGTATGGTACTGGCACGAAAACTGACACATAGATCAGTGGAGCAAAATAAGACCACAAAAATGAACCCATACTTATATGGGCAATTTATCTACAACAAAGGAGGCAAGAATATACAATGCAGAAAAGACAGCCTCTTCCATAAATGATGTTAGGAAAATTGGACAACTACACATATAAGGATCAAACTGGACTCTCCTCTCACACCAGGCACAAAAAATAAATTCAAAATGGATTAAAGATTTAAATGTTAAGACCTAAAACCATAAAACTTTTTGAAGAAAACATAAGCAGTACACTCTTTGACATCAGTCTTAGCAATTTTGTTTTTGGATATGTCTCCTCAGGCAAGGAAGA